TTTTGCATAAAATAGGCTCAAAGTTAACAATATGATACTTAAGATGAAAATACGGTAATGAGGCATGGCTATTCACTATTGAGGGTTTTTTCTCTTTCTCTTACAGTTTGAGGGTGGCTCTGGATATGGTAAGTCTTTATATAGAACATTTATATGTACTTCATAATGAAGTTATTAAAGGGCTTGATGCATACGTTTAAATCAGACTATTCTTATGCAGGGGGGCGTGGTTCATATGGCGACCTTGGTGGACCCATCATCACAACACAAGTAACGATTCCCAAAGATGTAAGTAGAGTTGACTTGCTTTCAACTTGTGTTGTCTCTTAAAAAGAAAAAAAAAAAAAAGTCACAGCCTTTTCTCAGACTACATAAGCAAATCAGAAGTATTTAGGGTGTTTGATAAGTATGTCTAATGTTTTTAAAACAAGTGTTTCTAAGTCACCAAAATCTATTCTTTGGGTGTTTGTTTTGTATCTTCACTTTAGAGACACACTAAGCAGTTTTATTAATTGTTAATATTCAGTAATAGAGATGGTCTATGTAACTTGTTTTTAGAAAGGAGCAACTGGTTCTCCCAGTTTTATCCCACCTGTGTTTATACAATTAATATTGCAGGGGATGTTTTGAGGCTGTGAAGAAGTAAGCTTCCATTGCAACTTTTAAAACGAAATGTGTGGAAGCTACTCAAATGCTGCTCTGATTTTCGTGACTGTTTTTAGAGAGGAAGTTGTATCAGGAAATGAATGTTTGCTTTCTCCTGTAGTTGGCAGGATCTATTATTGGAAAGGGAGGCCAGAGAATCAAACAAATACGTCATGAGTCAGGAGCTTCGATCAAAATCGATGAACCATTAGAAGGCTCAGAAGATCGGATAATAACTATTACGGGAACACAGGACCAGATACAAAATGCACAGTATTTACTGCAGAACAGGCAAGTTAAAGTTCAATGTTGTCCCTACTGTCAATTTTAAACTGACTGTGACTTGTACGTTCTAAAGCTGCTCTTCTCTGCGATACAGCTTTTAGAAGGCAGGTTTTAAGTAACTATTTGAGCCTAACTTCTCCAGTAGTAGTTCTGCCTTGATTCTCTTCTGTTCTCTATTCTAATTAAAATGAAGACACCCTCAAAACTAATCTTGCTGGAAGACGCCTTAACCAAGCAGTCCTCTCATTTCTCTGGTGAAAGCTGCTGCAAAAAACTACTTGTAATAAATTACATAGAGCCTGTAGAAAATATAGAAGATTTCAGTGGATGTTGGTCTAGTTCTGTGTGGAAGACTAGTGATTTTGTTGTTTTTAGATAACTAAATTGACAACAAATCACAGTCTGCCATATGGCACAGATCATGCCTCTACAGGACAAGTTGAAATCGATTTGGTGCTGTTACGCAGCATTTCACACCTTGCTGACATGACTTTGTCTTTTCTGCCAAATATTAACAGCTTCAGATTTAATTTGCTTAGTTTTGCTTTATTAACATGTTGGCTGTCATAGCAGATTTTGAAGTTTTAACTTGAATGTTTGGCTTTAGATTACTAATATTTAAATGTGCCTAAAGTATATTAAGACACCTATCATTATTAGCCATTAATCTTTTAAAATTATTTACTTTTTAAATGTATTAGGAATTTGTAATTTAATCTGCTCTAAGAATGTCATTGTGAATGTTGATGCAAGATGTATGGTCCATCATTCTAATACATGCTTTTTTCTTTTTCTTTTATAGTGTGAAGCAGTATGCAGATGTTGAAGGATTCTAATGCAAGATTATTTTTTCTTTTTTATAGTGTGAAGCAGTATTCTGGAAAGTTTTTCTAAGACTAGTGAAGAACTGAAGGAGTCCTGCCCCCTTTTTTTTTTTTTTTATCTGCTTCTGTTTAAAAAGCCAACATTCCTCTGCTTCATAGGTGTTCTGCATTTGAGGTGTAGTGGAATCTTTGCTGTCCACCAGATGTAATGTTTTAGTTCCTTAAAAATACATGGGGGGAGGGAAAGGGCGCACGAGACTAACATTGAAATTTTGAAGCAGCAGCAGAGAGAGTGGATTTTATTTTTGTTCATTGTTGGTGGTAAATTGTAATGTTTTTCTGTAATTGTTGTGAACACTCTGCTTTATGTACACTGTATTTTTTTTTTGAAGGGGGGAGAATACTGGTAGCCCACATGTCCCTGGCATCCTTTGAGAGCAGTGTGCAGAATGTAACGTTCTTTTGTAAGAAACATTTTATGATTTTTAAATAAATTTGGTGAACCTATTCTTGGTGGTCATTTTTCTTCAGCTATAATAAGGTAATACCTAAAATAGATAAACCCTTTTTCTTTTCCCCCCCCAAGAAAATGCATAAATGAAAGTTGCTGTTAAGCTTGCTCTCTGCTTCTTTGATATAGATGGAGTTATGTGGGGTTTTTTTTTTGACAAATTAAAGAAACTGTGTGAAAACAATGACTCTGCTTTGCTGTTTGGGGAAAAAATGCAAAAATATTCATGCAAATCTTGTGTAAAACTTGACGTTTTTGCAAGTGTTTGGCCCTCTTTGCAGTACATATATATATTGGTGACAGTATATAAATAAAATATTTAAAAACTTTGTGATGTCACTGAGTAAACAGTGGTAAAGTACACCTGGTTATAGACAGCTTGCTTAATGCAGATAACACTGTTAGAAATGACAGTTGCTGTACCATTACTGAATGAATTATAGTTGTTTTCTGAGTTTTCATTTGTATGAGGTAGAAATTCTTATAAATTGGCAAATTGACGGCATCTAACTCTGTAACTTGTTTTTCATTGTATGCAAAACTTAAACTTGTTTGGTTTCCCTGTTGTATGTTGAATTACATAGGAATTATTTGTGAGAAATTAAAAAAATATAAAGCCTCTGGATATCTCATGTAATACCTTGGCATTTGTATTTATAGTTTACAAGTTTTAATTTCACTTCCTGAATAAAATCGAATTTAAAAACGAAAGCGTGTTGCACACGTGGGTAGGAGGGGTTCTTTTGCTGGTTGGTCGGTTGTTTTTTTTTCCTCGGGTTGTGAAACCCACGGGAAGGCTTTGGGCGAACGCAAGAGGACCAGAGGAGGGGCGCGCCGCCCG